CCAGACACCAAAGTGGGACAGCCAGCACCCACCTCATCCTTGTTCAGCTCTTAACTCCTGGAAAGTGAGTCTGGATGAGTGTTGGAGCCTATCACAATCGTGTGGAGAAAAAGAAAGAATAGTATTTTTCCTGTCATCGGTGTCAATCTACTCTGTCAGGTGCCTTCTGTTGCCAAAGGTGATTGTAAAAATTCAAGATGACCACTCTGCATCTGACCAGTCATTTGCCTTCTTTTGCCACCTCAGCTCAACTTTTCCTCCAAGGAAATACTCAATCCAGTTCTATAACCTTTCCTAGGAAGCACAGGGTTCCAGGATTATCATCTGTGTCAGTTTCATTTGGTCTCCTGTATCTTTGTCAGAGTCCTGGTGTGGTGCTGTAGGATAAGCACTGGACCCCAAGGACAGTTTGAACCACAAGGTCTGCGGGTCCACTCCCTTAGTGGCTTCTCAGAAACGGTATATGGGTTGATATGAATCACAAACGACTGGATGACACTTAACATCTTTATTGTAGAGGGTCTGTGTAGCCTCAAGGGAATGGAATTTCAGTTTGGTTTATTCAATGTAGCTCCTTGTGCAAAGGTAGAAGAGGTCGTGAGCTAGAACCTCAGGCAGCCTCAATACAGAAAAAAAGGCGGCAAAGGGACGTGAGGGGGTGCAATCCTATTTGCCAATCATTTTCCAAAGTACTTTTACCTTCAAAACTCTTAAACCTCGCAAAAAGAATTTTGTCAAGTGGGTATTATAGTCTTCCTTAACTCCTGAGAAAATAGTTTCAGGGTAGTTGAGAGACTTTCCCCATGTCACTAATAGTAACTGGTGCCCTCAAGAATCTGATCTAGGTGACCTGATTGACACTTCACTGCAGTCCCCACTACTCATGCAAACTTTCAGGGGGCGCCCGAGAGTTCTGTCTACGGTGGTCCTCGGATCCCTGATAAGAAAGGGAAGGTGGTAACAAGATCGCCTGAATCTCCATGTGGCTGCTTGCGCTGTTGACTGTGGAGGCTGGAAGGCGAACTGGAGTGTGTGCGAGGTGACATCGTGGGCTTGCAGATGAATTCTGCGAGTGCTTATTACAGAGAATCAAGGCGATTAACTCCTCCCCTTCTCCGCCTACAGGGGGCGGGGCAACAAAGCGCGGGAAAACCCGGCCTCAGCTTCTCGCTTTCCCCCCACCAGTGTTAGAAGTGAGGAAAACGAGAGCTCTTAAACGGGAAGTAGATGTGAAGACTCCCTTTCCATGTTTAGGAAGCGTGTCAGCATGTCATTTTAAATATGCCTCTTTAGGAATGTATTAGGCCACGCCAACACTCCAACGTCACCTCTTCCCCACTTCCGGTCTCCATACTCGTCCCAGGTTTCAGATCCTCTTTCCGTCCACACGCCAATCTCCGCCCCCGTCCGAGTCCTCTTGCATAGCGAGGGACAATGGGTGACACCAGCGTTCAGGAACCGGCACGCTCGAGGCTGGAGACATGAAGACCCCGTCTATCCAGACTAGAGGATAATTTAATAAACAGCGTAAAAACGCGAGGAAATGGTCAACTAGATGACGTAAAGTTCTGGGTGACGTCCCATTCTGTTCATGTAATGCACGATTGAGAAAACTGTGCAAGCGGATCTACATATACTGGCTCCACAGAGAGTTGACAAGGCCCTCCTCAAAGTGCCCACCAAATAGAAGCAGCGAAGAGTTCTTTATATTTGCATAAATTAACTGCAGGCTTAAAGATTACAGCCAATAGGGAGTAAAGGGACGGAGATGCACCTGGAATAGTCACCTCCTCCAGTATAGGAAAGCAGGGAATCAGGTTGTCTATTTCTAAGCGACAGCAGCAGCTACCAGTAGTTTTTGAGGAGCACAGATGGGGCAGGTGGGCCCGGGCGCAACCAATGGGGAGCGGGATCTTCAGAGGACTAGGTTCTTTGCCCAATGAGTATGAGCGGATTGTGCGGGGCTAATTCCGAGCGGCAGTATTTAAGGCCAACCCTGAGCGGGACTGGGAGGGACACTACGTTGAACGACGGAGCTGTTGGCCAATGGCGAGTGTGGAAGCGAACAGCACAGACCTGGAACGCGGAGGGAGTGGAAAGAGGGGGGAGGCTGAACGGGAGAGAAGCAGGAAGTAGCGGCGGCCGCGGGGAGGGCGGCGGCGGCGGCGGCGGTGGCGGCGGCTGGAGCAAGGCAGAGACCGCCTTGGCTTGGCCCGCACTGGGAGCGCAGCAAGTAAGCTTGTCTGGGGTAGATAGCCGCCTTTGGCTCCGCCCCCGGGGGGGCGGGTAAATGCCCCTGCCCCTCCCCCACCTAGATAACTACCCCCTTTTCCGCGCCGCCCCCCTGGGGCGTCTTGTGGGGAGGCCGGGACACCGCCTCCATCCCTTGGGGCGGATGGGCGAAACTCCTAGCCTGTTGAAAGCACAGTCCCTAGCCGGGTAAACCTGGAGGAAGGGTTGGGGACCCCAAGTCCTGGCACCCCCCGGCCTGAGAGGCTCCCAAAGCAAGGCCTGGGGACTGGAGGCTGCGGGATGTCGCGACCTAAAATGGTGTCCGTGCTTGCGGGTGGGGGTGGGGGACCTGGGCCAGGCCGGAACAGAACCTTTACCCCAACTGTGTGAGGGTCAGCTCCCCGGCCCGGGCAGGACTCGGACTCGCGCCCCGGGCCCTGCCGCGCGGCTCACTCCCCCATCTCTGGAGAGCCTCGCGGGGCCTGGGAAGGCTGTGCTGCGTAGAGTGGGGAGGGGAGGGGGTCGGAGTTGGGACGGACCCTGCCCGGAGAACAGCGAGTCCTGCATAGGCGCTCTCCCCACTCCCTCTCCCAGCCCTCCCCTCTGGTCTACATGGGCTCAGTGGTGCTGCGTTGCGTCTCCCAAAGGTTCTGACTTGCTCGATACTCTTCCTTTCCTTTGCACGTCTGTGTGAGCTACAGCCAGGCTGCTTGCCTCAGTTTCCAGTGAAGACCCCGCCCCCACCTCACCACCTCGGACACGCTCCCCGATCTGGCCTTCGGCAGATGGCAGGAACTTAATTCCGCTCACTGCCCAGCTTGGCCGCAGCCTAATCGCCCCTAGCCTCCAGCTCCACGCCTTCCCTCCCCTGAGCTCGCACCACAGAGGCCCCAGGCCCTGGCAAAGGGCATTGGAGCCCCCACCCAACACCCGAACCAGTTCACTCTCTTCCTGTTCAGCCCGTTCCTTTGGTTTTTGGGGAAGAACATAGGGACAAGGGGTGAGGGGGTGGGGAGGAATGGCAGGAGCCCAAGTGACAGGGACTAGCAACTGCAGAAAGGCCGGGCCTGTGCCTCAGGATGGGGAAGCTGCCTCGGCCTTGAGCTGGGCTGCTTGGTCGGTTGCCCACTATGGGTGGCCATCAGATGACCTCTAAGTGCTTGGCCATCCAAGTAGGAGGTGGTTAGGGGAGACAAGTTCCAAGGTGTTTTTGCATAGTGTCCCCTGCTCCTGTAGGCCTAAGTGGATGCTCCTTCAGGCCTCTCCAAGTCTGGAGGCACCCAGGCTGAGGAGGGCCTTGCAGCCCTTGAGGGCAGAGGTAAGGAATAAAGGGCTTTGTTTAAACCCAAAGTCTGCAGAATTGAGGGAGGTGGTGGGGGAGGATTCTTCTTTCTGCCTCTAGTAGGTACCCCCTCCTCCCACTCTCACCTTGGTCCCAGCAATGCCAGCTACCACCTGCTGGGACTATCTCCAGTTACAGTCTGAAGGCTGGAAAGAGGTGAGAGAATTGGCCCTGAGAAATAGCTTGCATCTCAGGCAGGAAATGTGTAAGGATAGAGATTTCTTCAGTTACTTCTTTCTCGCTATAGAAACACTTGTGGGAAGAAACTGGCAGGGGACAAATCTGGGTCCCCAACAAGCTCTCATCTGGCCTCCTTGTTAGTTTAGTGCCACATAAGTCTTGTGGGATTTTTTTTTTTTTTTTTTTTACTGACTGAACCAGGTTGGGTTTGGGTGAGACTTCCTGGGCTACTGTTGCCAAAAAAAATTAAAAAGGTGAGGAGATTGGGTGAGGAGCTCAGATCAGAAATTAAAGGGGCAAAGGAGCCTGGCTTTTCTCCTTTGTGATTGCTGGATCAGAGCCGCACTGGGAGTTTTAGCCCTGAGAGAGCAGGATGGGTTGGGATTAGGGGAGGGACGGGCTAGGGGAGGGCTGAGGTCCTCTGGGCAAGGTAGGTAAGCAAGCAGCAGGTGTTTGTGACTGGAGAGACATAGGCTGGGGACCTTGTGACCAGACTGCCATCATCATTTTTCTCTCTTTCTCTTCTCTTTGTTTCTTTCTTTCCTCTGTGTTATTTCCATCTTGATCTCTCTTGATTTGGTTTGGATTCTTTCTCAGCTCCTCCTTGACCCTGACATGTTCCTATTTGATATCATAGTAAATAATTTTCTGGGTTCTCTCATGTTTACAATTTCTTATCACGCTCAAAATATATGTATGGATTGCATGTTCATTCTTTCCAACAGCAAAAGTAAGGCAGTAAAGGAGCATGTTTATACGACATGCCAGCAAAGCTATAACTCAAAGCGTTTCTTATCTCTTTGCTTAAGTCACTGTTCCTTTGTACACTTGGCGATTCAGATCTCTGTGGATCCTAAAAGACCCATGAAAATTTTTAATTGATCCCATACTGACATGAATGAACCCTTAAGCCTAGACCATCATCTACATCCTCCTCTATAATAGTGTTGATTAACTACTGGGCACAGGATAGGGTGAGGTGGTTCCAACCAAGATGCTCACTGAACTTGCTCTGCCTCCAATACTCTGGTCTGTTTCTGAGAAGTCTCTTTTCCTGTGCTTCTGTGGATTTTGCTGTCTGCCCTGGTATGTCCATATACTACCCTTTTTTCAACTTCAGGGTGTGGCAGTCCAGCCAGCTCTCTAGGATTTGCTTGTTGGCAGGCTTGTGCTCTCGGGCTCTAAGAAGGGATCCAGAGTTCCTGCTTTCAGGGTCCTCAGTATCTCCCTGTTTTTATCAGGTCTGGGACCTGCCACTATGGGGGACATGAAGACCCCTGATTTTGACGACCTCCTTGCTGCCTTCGACATTCCAGACATTGATGCAAATGAAGCCATTCACTCTGGGCCGGAAGAGAACGAGGGACCAGGAAGCCAGGTGAAGCCAGAACCCAGTGTGAGGGACGAATCTGGAGAAACAACAGCAGCAGCTGCTGGGGATGGTGCTGGGGCTTCAGCCCAGGCTTCTGACCATGGCCTGCCGCCACCAGACATCTCGGCAGTCAGCGTTATCGTCAAGAACACTGTGTGTCCTGAGCAGCCTGAAAGCCTAGCTGGGAGTTCAGGAGGGGAAGGGGCCCGAGCTGGGGGGGTGACTAAGGAAGGGCCTGTGGGCCCCCGTGTAATGCAAAATGGCTTTGGGAGCCCTGAGCCATCCCTTCCAGGGACACCCCGCTCTCCAGCTCCTCCCAGTGGAGGTTCTTGGAAAGAAAAGGCCATGGAAGGCAAAGCTCCCTTGGACCTCTTTGCTCATTTTGGGCCTGAGCCAGGAGAGCATCCTGACCCACTGCCTCCCTCTGCACCTTCCCCACCTCGAGAAGGGGCCATGACCCCACCTCCTTTCTCCACTCCCTTTGAGTTGGCCCGGGAGAATGGCCCAGCTTTGCTTCCACCTAGATCGTCCCCTCCATTGGGAGCCTTGAAGCAGGGCAGCTGCAGCCCTCTTTGTCCTCAAGGCCTCGGCCGGCGAGGTTCCAACTCCAGCCCTGAGACCACAAGCATGCCTGCCAGCACCTCACCTTCCCGTGTGGCTGGGGTGCCCTTCTTCAAGCAGTCTCCTGGGCACCAGAGCCCACTCACCTCCCCTGAAGTGCCGGGTTGTCGTCCTGTAAAGGAAGAGGAAGAAGATGATGAGGGACCAGTGGATAAGTCTCCCCCAGGAAGCCCCCAGAGTCCCTCTAGTGGAGCTGAGGCAGCAGATGAGGACAGCAATGACTCCCCTGCCTCGTCCAGCTCCTCTAGGCCCCTCAAGGTGCGGATCAAGACCATCAAAACGTCTTGTGGGAATATCACGAGGACTGTTACCCGAGTCCCCTCAGACCCTGATACTTCTGCCCCTCCAGCTGAGGGGACCTTCCTGGCTGAGGCCAGTCTCCTAAAGCTGTCTCCAGCACCTCCGACTCCTGAGGGTCCAAAGGTGGTGAGCGTCCAGTTGGGGGATGGCACGAGGCTAAAGGGCACCGTGCTGCCGGTGGCCACCATTCAGAACGCCAGCACCGCCATGCTGATGGCAGCCAGTGTGGCCCGAAAAGCTGTGGTTCTGCCTGGAGGGACAGCCACCAGCCCTAAGACGATGGCTAAAAATGTGCTTGGCCTGGTACCCCAAGCCCTGCCCAAGGCTGAGGGGCGGGCTGGGCTGGGGACAGGAGGGCAAAAGGTGAATGGGGCCTCAGTGGTGATGGTGCAGCCTTCGAAGCCAGCCACTGGGCCGGGGGCAGGGGGCGGTACAGTGATCTCGCGGACCCAGTCAAGCCTGGTGGAGGCCTTCAACAAGATCCTCAACAGCAAGAACCTGCTGCCTGCCTATAGGCCGAACCTGAGTCCTCCTGCTGAGGCAGGGCTGGCCCTGCCTCCAACAGGCTACCGCTGCCTTGAGTGTGGGGATGCCTTCTCCCTGGAGAAGAGCCTAGCCCGGCACTATGACCGTCGAAGCATGCGCATTGAGGTCACCTGTAACCACTGCGCCCGCCGCCTGGTCTTCTTCAACAAGTGTAGCTTGCTGCTGCACGCGCGTGAGCACAAGGATAAGGGGCTTGTCATGCAGTGCTCACATCTGGTCATGAGGCCTGTGGCCCTTGACCAGATGGTGGGGCAGCCGGACATCACACCCTTATTGCCTGTGGCTGTCCCTCCTGTCCCTGGACCTCCAGCCCTGCCTGCCTTGAGCAAGGGTGAGGGAGCAGTTCCATCCTCTGCCATCACTACAGTTGCTGCTGAAGCCCCAGTGCTGCCACTCTCAACCGAGCCACCTGCTGCCCTTGCTACCTCTGCTTACACGTGCTTCCGCTGCCTGGAGTGCAAGGAGCAGTGCCGGGACAAGGCTGGCATGGCTGCCCACTTCCAGCAGCTTGGACCCCCGGCCCCTGGGGCCACCAGCAATGTGAGTTCTCTTCCACAGCCTTGCTCTGGGGAGATGAAGGAGGGCAGATGTTGTAGGGATAGAACCCAGGAAGGTGTTGGTGGATTTGGTGAGGAGAATCATAGGGAACAGGCCACTCCTTACCAGCATAAACTTGTTTTACCCTCCCCCCGCCAGGTGTGCCAGACCTGTCCCATGATGCTCCCTAATCGCTGCAGCTTCAGTGCCCACCAGCGCATGCATAAGAATCGGGCCCCCCATGTCTGTCCTGAGTGTGGGGGCAACTTCCTGCAAGCCAATTTTCAGACCCATCTTCGAGAGGCCTGTCTGCATTTCTCCCGTCGAGTAGGATACAGGTGCCTCACACTCCTCTCGCCATCACACTTCCCCCTCACCCCCATATACCTTATGGCTTCATGTTTCTTAGCACCAGCCTTTGTGATGGCATCACAAGAAGAGCCTCATCTCGTCAACTGTATCCCCAACCCTGTTGGGACTCAGCCTGAGATGTTGCACTCTGCCTTCCCGTCATTCCCCCTCCTGTGGAGCACAGGCTGGGTCTCCCTTGAGGAGCTGGGTTTCTGCAGCTCCCTCCTTTTCCATTTTGCACATGTTCCACCACTGCTATCCCAGTAGACCTCATAACCCACAGTCCCTGAGAGTGAGTGGGGGTGGGGGTGTACACAGATTCTCCTAACTCATTGTAGCATCCCCTCCTTTTTCTTCCCAAGGTGCCCCAGCTGTTCAGTGGTGTTTGGGGGTGTGAACTCCATCAAGTCCCACATCCAGACGTCGCACTGCGAGGTTTTCCACAAGTGCCCTATCTGCCCCATGGCCTTCAAGTCTGCACCCAGCGCGCATGCCCACCTTTACACCCAGCATCCCAGCTTCCATACACAGCAGGCCAAGTGAGACCTGGGGAGGGGGAGGGAGTGTGAGGAGGACGGGAGTGGCTCAAGGGAGAGTTTTGGGGAGCCAAATGGGGGTGGGCTTCTCTTCATCCTTGCCTGATGCCACACTACCCTTTACATCACTGTAGGCTGATCTACAAGTGCGCCATGTGTGATACCGTCTTCACTCACAAGCCCCTCCTCTCCTCACACTTTGACCAGCACTTGCTGCCCCAGCGTGTTAGTGTGTTTAAATGCCCATCCTGCCCTCTGCTCTTTGCCCAAAAGAGGACCATGCTGGAACATCTCAAGGTAAGGTGTCAGGGATGGGGCTAGAGCTCAGTGGTTGTTGACCTGGGGCTAGGGTCACACAACCCTCAGGAAGGGAAAACCAAACCAGAAACGTACTGCCATTGAGTTGATTCCAACTCATAGCAACCCAACTTATAGGTCAAAGTAGAACTGCTCCTTATGGCCCCCCAGACTGTAAATCTTTATGAGAGAGAGCAGCCTCATCATCTTTCTCAGAGTGGTTGGTGGGTTTGAACTGTCAGCCTTGCAGTTAGCAGCCTGATACTTAATCCACTGTTCCACCAGGTGTCCCTCAGGGATAGGATGGGGTGGGTGAGAAGAAAATGATTTGGCAAAGTTAGGCCCTTCTCCAGAACAGCTATCCCCCTTGTCTCCTTTTCACAGAACACCCATCAGTCGGGACGCTTGGGGGAAGAGACTGCTGGGAAAGGGGCTGGGGGTGTCCTTCTGACCCCTAAGACTGAGCCTGAGGAGCTATCTGTGTCTCGGGGAGGGGCAGCCCCTGCTACTGAGGAATCGTCTTCATCTTCAGAAGAAGTACCCAGCTCCCCTGAGCCCCCCCGCCCAACCAAGCGCCCCAGGCGTGAACTAGGGAACAAAGGCATCAAGGGTGGGGGTGGGGGGCCTGGCGGCTGGACCTGTGGCCTTTGTCACTCTTGGTTCCCTGAACGTGATGAGTATGTGGCTCACATGAAGAAGGAGCATGGCAAGGTGAGTAGAGCCCCTCAACGGGAGCAGAGTTGGAGGGGCAGTGTTGGGATAGGTTCCTGGAGTCGTGCTCTGAGATCTTCCATCACCTGCTTTCCTAGTCTGTGAAAAAGTTCCCCTGTCGCCTATGTGAGCGTTCCTTCTGCTCAGCTCCCAGCCTGAGGCGCCACGTCAGGGTCAATCACGAGGGTATCAAGAGAGTTTATCCATGCAGGTAACCCTGCCCCTCACACACTTCCTGTCAGTGCCCGGAGTGTCCTTCCTTTGCCCTGGTAGCTCCCACCTCAGGAGCCACGGGCCGCCTGGGTCTTAGGCTGTGCCTGTGTACCTAAGCCACCCATTCTCCACTTCCAGGTATTGCACAGAGGGAAAACGCACCTTCAGCAGCCGTTTGATCCTGGAGAAGCACGTCCAGGTCCGGCACAGCTTGCAGCTTGGAGCCCAGTCCCCTGGCCGGGGGAGTGCCCTGGCTCGGGGCCCAGGTGCCAGAGCCCAGGTAGGTAGAGGTCTGGCCTGCTGTGTTAGGGGTACAGGTGGGAAACTGCAGGGTGCAAACCCTGGCCTCTATAGAAGCTGGGGGTGACAGAGAGGCCCACTGCTCCTTCCACTCTTCTCCAGGGGCCAGGACGGAAACGCCGCCAGTCTTCTGATTCTTGCAGTGAGGAGCCTGACAGTACAACACCGCCAGCCAAGTCCCCCAGAGGTGGACCTGGGTCTGGAGGCTACGGCCCCTTGCGCTATCGGAGCAGTGGCTCAGCGGAGCAGAGCCTCGTGGTGGGGTTAAGGGTGGATGGTGGTACCCAGCAGTGCCTCGACTGTGGTCTGTGCTTTGCCTCCCCAGGCTCTCTGAGTCGGCACCGGTTCATCAGCCACAAGAAGAGGCGGGGTGTGGGTAGTACAAGTGCCCTGGGGCTGGGGGATGGTGAGGAAGAGGCTCCTCAGCCAAAGTCTGACCCTGAAGGTGGAGAGTCACCTTTGCCGGCTTCTGGGGGCCCATTGACCTGTAAAGTGTGTGGCAAGAGCTGCGACAGCCCACTTAACCTCAAGACCCATTTCCGCACGCATGGCATGGCCTTCATCAGGGCTCGGCAAGGAGGTAGTGGGGAAAACTAGGCCCCAAAGCAGGGATGTATAAGTTCCCTCTCCTTCCCAGGAACCTGGGTTTCACTGCTGCTGCCTGGTCCCTGGATTGGGGAGTTTCGGCTAAGATTCACATTCTGTTAAACTCCTCCCTCCCCGCCACAAGGGGTTAAAAAAAAAAAAAGGCTTTTGAGGACTATAATTATTTACAGTCCCCTTCCCCACTTTGGGTTTGGCACTTGGGTTTGAGTAGAGTGGGCCCTTCATTCCTTTTCAAGCCCAACACTAATTTTCCTTTGGCTGCAGACCCCCGTGTGGTACTAGGAGTGGGAGGAAGGGACTCCCTCCTGCCTATGAGACAGTATGGGGAAGGGCCTGTGCTGGGGTAGGCCATGGATCCTCCTTTCTCCTTTACAGGCATGGGCAGGGATTGGCCCCCTCTGGGTCTAGCTTTGCACCACCCTGACTCCCTGGCACTCCAGCCCCTGCCCCTGCAGTGCCTTTCACATATCTTTTTCCCCAGAAGTCCATGGGGGGGCGGGGGAGGGTTAGTGGGAATGAGTCCTGTCAAGGAGGGTCCCGGGGAGAGGAGGGGACAGGCTCTCAGGAATCCTTTATTCTTGTAGTAATAATACTAACAGTGGGGAAATGGGAGGGAGAAAACCAGACCATTAAAACTGCTCATGGTTTAATCCCCAATTCAGGCTCTTCTTTTTATGTGAGTTGACAATGTGGATTTGAGAGGGAAGGAGTGAGTCAAAACTGGGGACTTCCCTCAGGAGAGAGGGTATTGGCCAAGACAGGCAGGGGAAAGGCAGTTTGCCTCCCCCTCTTTCTGTTGGTGCCTTTGTATCATGGATGCGGAAGCATCTGTTCACGCCTCACCCACCCCTGAAAAAAAAACAAAGCCCTCAGAAATGACACAGATGGCTAACTAAGGACTTTATTTCAAACAAAAATTGAAAATAAAAAAATTGAGAGCTATTTCCCTGGGGTAGGAAAGGGATCAGAGCAAGGAATTCCCCATGGCTAGGCCAAGATCCTCATGTCGAGGGATTGTGGTAATTCCCTTCCTCACCCCTGGGATAGGGACCCTCAGCAAGTGCAGGACCTCATGCCAAAGCCCACGGATCAAGGGACACTCTGGCTAGGGGTCAGTCCCTGGGAGGGAAGAGCAGGGCAGCAGCATGGCCAAAGGCCAACTACAGGATCAAGTCCTAAGTACCAAGAACCTGCTCATGCCCTCACTTTTTGGGACCTCAAGCAGACGAGGATGGCCTATGGATAGAACCTCTTTGACCCTGGTGAGGAGAAAGGCCTGTGTCCGTCCCCTCCACATTCATCACCTCTGTTCTCTGGAGGACAGTCCTCGATTCTGTCAGGTGATAATACTGACACACAGCTGGGGAGCAGGGGAGCCCCAGCAAATCTGGACCTCCGTGGCGGCTGGCTCTCCCACCTCCCAACCCTGGCACACTCTTGCAGTTACCACATGATCCTTTGTATTTCCCTGGGGTGGATGGGTGGGTGGGGTTTTCTTGGTTTGGGGTTTACCAGGCAAGGGCCCTCCTAGGGAGGGTCTTCTGGCTCTCCCCACCACTGCTGGGCCCAAGAAGGAGGATGTCACATGATGCCATTGGTGAGGTACTGGAAGCCATCATAGAGTTTGGTGGTAATGGACCGCATGCTGCCGTCTACCATCTGCTCCACCAGCAGCTGGAGCTGCTCCTCAGTCATGCTCATGTGGAACCTCTCTTTGAGGTTGCGGATAGTGCTGGAGCCATGGAAGCAAGGGAGCTGAGAACCTGGGGGAAGAGGATCATGGATGAACATTGTAACAAGCCCAGCAAATACAGCCAGGGCTATCTGACTGAAGTGCTCCTTCCCCTTCCCACCTCAAAGAACCCCAAGAGTGGATGCAGTGTGGTCTGGACAGAGAAGAAAGCATTGGTGGGCGGTCCTGTCCTGAACCCAGTTTGTTCCCAAATTGCTAAGCCCTTCTGTAGGTGACATGTCCTGAGAGGAGGGAGCAAACTCAACACCACGTCTTCCCCAGTCAGGGCTCAAAGGACAGGGTCTTAGGACCCAGAGGGAAGGCTGGGATTAGGTTCTGGGCAATAAGCCCTGAGCTGGGCACTTATCTGATTGTAGGTCTCTGCCTATGCTACGTCTGACACTCACAGATGACCTGGGCCACCGTCATCACGGGGCCAGACGGGGATGCTCCTGAGCAACGTCGACAACCTGTTGGGGGTGGGTGGGCGGGTGGGGGGGGAAGGAGGATGACACTGGCAGCTCAGACCCTGTGCACATCTGAGCCTTAACAAAGGGATGGGGACAAGGGTCAGAAGAACTGGGAGAAGGGATTGTGCAGAAAAGACTGTAGGTGGCAGGACAGTGAGGGAACAGCCTAGTGAAAAAAAGATGTGGAACAAAAGGAAATACTCTTTCAGCTACACGCAGGAGGGAGTAACTAACGGGCAAGGGAAAGACAGGATAGGGCAATCAGAGGTCACAGTGAAATAGCAAAGTGGTAACAAACACCTGAGATGACAGGAGATGAGACATGGAAAGAGGAGACAAGCTTGGTGGTAAGACAGGGATGTGGGGCTAGGACCCTGGAGATGGGAACTGCTCTCCCTTGAATGCACCCAAAGGGGTAGTTTCTACTACTAGACCCTAGTTCTTTCAGGGGTCAGGAGGAATGTCTGGAAGAAAAACATACTGGACCCAAGCTGGAAACCCTCTGGGGACCTCCCTTCTGAGTCTTGGGACGCAATCAACTTTCTGGAAGTTCCATGGTCCAGGGCTCCGTAAGTGGGAATCCTGAGGTGCTATAGGCATGGCTCTATTCCTAAACACCCGGCCTCTCTCCAGTCCCACCTTGCTGCATGATCTCCACAATCTGCACCACTTTATCCATATGTTTTCGAGCAGCAATTAGCCCCTGCAGCATCAGCATCTTGTAGTAGTTGAACATGTCACCATCCAGGCCACCCATCACCTGAGGAGGGAGGAAAGAGTTGTATGCCTAAGGGGCTTAGGATGGGAACTGTCCCTGTCCCAACAGCCTACCACTCAGAACTGGGAGGTCCTTCATTGACTTGGGACCAGCACACCAAATCCCTCCCAGGAAATCCAGCCTTACTGACTTACTGCCTACTAGCTCTCTAGCCCATAACAGAGAAAAATCAGTGACCCTAGAGGCATCTCTCCCTGACTCACATCCACAAACTCTGTGGTCAGCTTAAAGGCCGACGTCTCAAAGCCCAGATTTCGAGGTGAGCTGGATAGGATGAAGCCAAAATCGATGTGGATGATGTGGCCTTCTGCGTCCAAAAGGATGTTCCCATTGTGTCTGAGGAGGGAGAGAGGAGAGGAAGCCGCACAAGGAAGGCTGACTGAGGCCACATGATACCAGGCAGGAGAGTCCCCTACCATATTTCCTGTTGCTTGTGACTGTCCAACCTCCTAGATCTAAAGCTAGCAGTCTAAAGAAACTTGAAAAAGAAACTTGCTAGCAAAGTCTGTGGATTCTAAAATTGCTATCATTAGCAATTTAATAAAAGTTTTTTTTTTTAAACAGAGTATCCGAATTTTCCTGAAATTGTACTTCTAGCACCCAAACGGATCCCATTCTAGAGGGGAACCCAGAAACAAGGTAAGAAGGCTTCTGAGGTTTCAGCTGCTATTGCAGAGCCAAGCACTTTACTTGGGAGGTATCCATTCAAACCAGTTTATGTGTGTTGTATTTCTAATTCCTATTAGCCTCACTGTGAGTTGGAACAGACTTGATGGCAATGGGTTTGGTTTTATCAGCTCACTGCACAGCAGAAGCCCTACCAGAGTGAGCAACAATCAGAGGCAAGCAGAGTGGAGTTTAAATGTAAAATAGAGTATGGGGGCCTCATGGGTAAGTTTTAACTATTTAATATAAAATCTTAGGAGGTAATCACTACAGGCCAGTAGTAGGAAGAAGAGTTAGAGGGAGATAAATCCCAGGTCTTTTTGAATCTCACATGAATGCCCTGTAGAAGAAGGAACCATTAACATGCTAGGCATGGGAGGCCTGGCCTATTCAGCATAATCAGTGTCAATAGAGGCTTTGTTAGGCCACGAGTTTTCAGTCTGAGGGCCACCTTCTTCTATGGAGTTGGTCTGAATGACCTAGAGAAGAGGACAGGGAGCACCGAGTCCCACCTAAGTCCTCCTCTAGGAATGCATTAAAGACCTGACAACAGTGACACAGCTTGAGAGCCAGATCAGCTTAAGATGTCCGAGCCAGCCTCTCATTTCAGAGGTGAGGAAAACTGAGGCCCAGGCCTCCAAGGTTAGCGAGGGCAGTTTCATTCTCTTCTTTACTGGAGTTAGCTCTAGCTGGAACGCTGTTTGGGGCTCATTCTGAAGTATAAAGGGACCTGAAACCTGCTCCCATCCCCCCTCCCCCATTACATTTTTTTAAATAATAAAAAGAAAGGTGGACTCTTCATCATCTTTCTAGCATTAAGTCTCCAAAAGGAATGTCCAACCCATTTATTCAATCCCAAGGCTCAGCTCTAAGCTCTCTCTGGGCCTTAAGTTCAAAATCCTGATTCTTCAGGGATAGTTTAAAGCTTGCAACCAAATTCCTTTAAGATAATTACACTTCCCTTTAGCCCTCCAGTGCAGAGTCTACACTGGGTTCCTGTGTAGGGCTGGCAGAGTGGAGTAAGACAGGTTCCCAGAGTTTTCTGGCCCTTATTTCCCTTATCTGCCAACAGGGATGAAGATACACCTGTCCGACAGGGTTTTCTGGTGATTTATTTAGAAGACTGTTGGGTCATGGCAGACATTTACTAGATGTTAGATTTCTCATAAGCTGCTCTATTAGTGAGTTCTTTGTGCTGCTGCTATACCAGTGGGTTTGGAGTGCACAGGCCCCTGCAGTTCTGCCTTCCCAGGACAGCTGCTCAACACCAGCAAGAGGCTCAGCTCACAAGGCACTCAAGATACAGACCTGAGTCACTGTCTGGAGACACCCTTAGCTAGCAGGGCCTACATGGTATAATCGTCTTTGTACAATGTTCACCCAGTGCTGGATTAACCAATAAGCAAGATAAGCACAGCTTACTTGTGCCTACTTACTAATCTGTAGTGAACAATCTACCTCCCTTTTTTAAAACCACAAAAAATCTGCTGCTATGTATGACGAGCATCTGTCTCTATGCCAACCCCACAGCATCTTCCTACAGAATCAAAGTCTCTTTTCAAATTTATCATCGCTGATAGGGATGGAATACCCAGCAAGCAGGGTAAAATATAAGTTGTGCTTACCTACTTATTTGTAATGAACAGTTTCACACAATGCAGTGAAAAACATGTGAAACTGTTCACTACAGATTAGTAAATAAACACAAGTAAGTCTGTGCTTTCCTTGCTTACTGGGTATCTCATCTGACTCCACCCATATGTGTAGTTGGTCTCTTAAAAGGTCATGTGACATTGGAAAAAAAAAAAGATAGCTCTGAGCAAAACAGACAAAGTTTGGAAACCATATGCTGAAATGAGAAAAATGAATTCAGGGCTGCAAGTTTCAACTTTATCTGTACCATGTTTCTCATATTCATCTTCTCCCTTTCTGCTCTCAGTCACTACCACTATCCTTGGGACCCCATTATCATTTGCTGTGACTGTTGCCAAACCAAGGCCTAATTACATCCACCCTCACCATGGGCCACAGGGTGAACGATTACCCCCACCCTCCTCCACAGGTACTACATTCAGTGAATACAGGCTCGATCATGTCACTCCTGCCCTTACAAAACACAACCACAGCACCTTATAGTGGAGAGCCTTCTCGGCAAGCTTCAACTAACGTTTGTCACATATCCACCTACTACCTACCCTTCCCTTCCCACCATGCAGTGCACCTCAAGCTTTAGTCACATTGAACTTCTCTCCTCTATCTGGAGCAAGGAGTCCTGGTGTGGCACTATTGGACAAGCACTAGATTGCTAACCACAAGGTTGACAATTCAAACTCACCAGCTGCTCCTTGGGAAACCCTATACAGGATCACTGAGTTGGAACTGATTCAACAGCACTTAACAACATCTGGAACACATTTTTCCCACTGCTATCTCCGTCCTCATTTTCCCCTGTGCAAATCCTCTGTTAAACCCACTACTGTCAAGTTGAATCCAACTCCTAGTAACCCCATTGTTGTTGTTGTTGTTAGGCGCCATCAAGTCGGTACATAGTAACCCCAGAGGACAGGGTAAACCTACTCCATAGGATTTCCAAGATGGAAATCTTTATGGGAGCAGACTGCCACATCTTTCTCCTGCAGAGTGGCTGGCAGATGTGAACCACCAACCTTTTGGTTAGCAGTTGAGTGCTTTAAGCACTGCATCACCAGGGCTCTTTACTTAAACCCTTACACCTCCCATAAATCCTTCCTGACTTTGTCCCTGAACTCTAGCCTTTGTCAGTCTGCTTCCTTGGTTTAATATCACATGAACAAATCTGTCTCTGCTTAAAATCCGATCAATAAAAATTCCACTATCTTTCTATTCCTTTATCCAGGAACTTTTTGAAGCCCCTTCATATGGTGTTGGTTTCATCTTTACATCTTAGCACAGTGGTAATGAGGAAATGATGACATGTGAATGAACCTGGAGAAAAGGTTAGGATGAGGGTCAGGAAGTCATTTACCTGTCCTTGACCTGTAGCAGGTAGCAGACCAAGCAGTAGCCAGCACAGCTTTGTACAAAATTGCGCTGGGCACTGAGGAATGCCTCGGTGGTGTAGCTGCCGTGCTCCTGCAGGAAGTAATCAAGCAGAGAGAGCTGGGACTGCTTCTTCACCTGGTGTATGGACACAGCATTGACCACTGGCTCAATCATACCGCTGTCGGCCGAAATCACAAGGATCTTGTATGGCTTGATCCAAAGGGGTACTCGTTCCTGCTCCCAAATGGACTGTGAGGGGACAAGGAAGTTATTGGAACCTTCATCTTTTTCCAAATTGAGGAGAGGCTGAAATTCCCTCTGTCCCCCACCTCTCTCTGTGATTTTACTGAGGACCAGAGTTTTGAGGAGTTTAGGGTCTGACAAAGACATAGGAAAGCACCCTTAGAAGTATGTAGGAAAAGTATCATATACATGCTGTTGCTGTGAAGTGCCATCGTGCCGGTTCTGACTCATAGTGACCCTGTATAGGGTGGGTTTGAACCACTGACTCTGCAGGTAAGCAGTCCAGTGCTTACCCTACAGTACCACACCAGGACTCCATCATATATACAGAAAGTACAAAAAAGGCAGAAGAATAGGAAATATGGTTACCTCATAAGCAAATAGAATGGAAACTATTAAGACTAGTTCAAAGAATAAGAAGAAAACCAGAAAAGGATCTAGATCTAGAGGAAGTGTTTCAAGAAAACAGAAAAATAAAATAAAATAAACAGTTGAGGTTACTTGTAGGTGACCAACCCAGGCTACTCAGGGCATCAGTATCTAAGTAGACCTGTAATCCAGTGCTGTAGACCAGCTGTGGGTTGTGTAAGAAGGCAAGTGCAATTCATAAAATGGCCTAAAGAGGGCACTGTGGGACTGTCCCCATGGTAGTGTTTCCCAGAGGAAAGGCTCCAGGTTTAGTTTAAATAGCTTTAGACTTGGGCAGGAAAGCAAGCTCTGGCAGAATTCCCTACAAAACCTATGTGGTCACCTCAGGTGGGCTGGAGCTGGGCTAAGCTCCTCTTCGTTCTCCCTCCCCTTCTCTTACCTGCAGTTGCTTCAGCACCTGAAAGGCCAGCAGTTCCTGCCGAAGATCATCCCCACACTTGACAATGACTGACAAGAGCCGCCAATTGGGGAGATGGCCATAAGGGGAACCCTCTCGGATGCGCCTGTGGAAGAGACGAGAAAAAAGTATATAGGCAAATCCACATTGATGACAGAGACAGAATGTCTACTAGAAATCCAAATCAAACACCACATAGGCAGGGACTGACTGCCTGGGTTTCAGTGTAGGTCGTATTTTGTCCTTTGGTTTGTCTTTTGTACAAGGGTTTTGGAAGGCTGATGGACAATACAGACTGCTGATGGACTCTGAGACCCCCATCAACTCACCGCACTTTCTCCTGCCAGGGCTCTTTGAGAGCAACTGCAGAAGGGTCTTCTGGGTCTCGTTTGAAAGCTGTGGGGGTGTGAGCCAGCTGTTCAGAAAGGCGCCGTCTAGCAGGAAGAAAACACATCATTTACTTGGAGGAGTCACCCAGAGCCTCAAAGCCCCATTGTCTATGCTGGCTTTCCTTGATTCTGGGCACACATGGAGAGATAGGAACTGGGCTGACAGAGACTCACAGAAGGAAACATACCAGTGATACCTTCTGTTAACCTGGTGGCTTACGATCATACTAAAATGCAGATTTCCAGGCCCTCCTCTAAGCATTCACTAAGATTCTAATAGAAAATGGGGTATGAACCCAGTATCTGCATTTTAAACAAGATAGATGGTCCCCCTTCTTGGTTCTGATACATGTAATCCTCAAATCCCACTTTGAGAAACACTGCTCTGATTCCTTCCTCTGGCGTTTTCATAACTTTGGAGAACTATTTAAGATGGAGTTTGTTTCTGTAGCAATGGAATTTCTCAGTTTGCACCTTCACTGACTCAAGTCTGCTGCTTTCCAAGACAAGAACTGAGTGAGAAAAGAGAAACATCTAGGCGGATGAGACAGCCGATTGTTCAGAGAAAGAGATGAAGGGGAAAGTAAGAGAGGCAGTGGGTGAAACAGGGATGATAAATGAGGGGCAGTGTAATTGGGACGTACCGGATGTCCCCTGCTGCAATGAACACAGGCTCCTTGCTCTCCTGGCTGGTGATGCTGTCCACGGAGAACTGGGAGATGTTGTCACAGCTGTTGGTGTGTACTTCAGGGAGCTGGGGAGAGCAGGGGTGGCAGGTCAGAAGGGCCAAGCACAGGTCTGACTTTTTTCACCTCCGCCTCGGATTTACGTCCTGCTTGTTTGTGTGCCACATCCATGCCATGTTCATCCCCTCCCCCAAATTCTGCTCCACAAGAGCCTCCCCTGGTGACGCAGCATCTTGATCACTTGGACCCACACAAGTTAGACATTGACAAAGAAGTTGCAGCAGTGTTTCTCAAAGTGTGAACTATGTGCGTCAGAATGCCTGACAACATGCAGGTTCCCAGAAACTACCTACATTCTTAGAATTACTAAGCAGAGGATCTGGGCATCTGCATTTTTAACAAGTTTTCCAAAAGATTTTCAACACACTAAAGTTTGCAAACTACTACCATCGCTATCACAGGAACTGGTACATTCTCAGATTGAGAGCGTCCCAAGGCTGGGAATACTTTTTCTTATTGGATACAGAAGAGGAACTCTCCAGACTAAATCCTGCCCCCCCCCCGCCCCCGGCCACTTCATAACTCTCAGCCATCCAACACTAGCCCATCTCTCACTTCATCTTTGTCTCTTCTACCAGATCCCCAAGTCCCTTCTTTCCTTTATGCCAGAGCATTCTCTTCAACTCCATTCAACTGTCACTTATCACAGGCTGCCATATCTTATTACATGCTTTAAGCATCAGAAATTTGCTCACAGTTGTGTAGGTCAGAAGTCCCACATTAGTTTTAGTGGACCTAAAACAAGGTGTCAAACAGTTACAGTCCCTCCAAGGGTTCTAGGGGGAGAATTTGTTCCTTGTCTCTTCTAGCTTCTGGTAGCTGTTGGCATTCTGTGACTTGTGACTAGGTCACACCAATCTTAAAATTCAGCATCTTCAAATGTCTTTCTGCTGTTTTCACACAGCCTTTCAGATGTATGTGAAATACCTCTCTGCTGCTTTCTTGCAAGGACATATATGATTAGATTTGGGGCTTATTTGGAAAGGCCAGGATTAAAGCTCCATTTTACGAGCCTTAGTTTAATAACGTTTGTGAAGATTTTGCCATATTGTAACAGCCACAGGTTCCAGGGATTAGATGTTTATTATTGTGGATTCCTTAAGTGTGTTATATCTCTTCTCTCTTATTGCTTTAAAGGTTTCCTTTGTCTTTAGCTTTGAACAGTTTCATTACAATGTGTCTTCGTAAGGATCTCTTCAAGATCATATTTAGAGCTTGTTGAGTTCCTTGGATAATTACATTCATGTTTTTGTCAAGGAAATTTTCAACTTTTCTTTCTTGCTTTCTTCTCCTTCTAGAATGTGTATAACACGTATGTTTAGCCTGTTTGATGTGGCCATGCAAGTCCCTTATACTCTGCTTCATTTTCCACATACTTTTTCCTTTCTAATCCTGTAACAGAGTAATTCCAAGTCTTGTGTTCAAGTATGTTGATTCTTTCTTCTGCCTGGTAAAATTTGTGGTTGAATCCATCTCATAAAATTTATTATTGTACCATTTGGGTTCACAGATGAATTTATATTTGGTTCCTTTTTCTCTCTCTTTAATGGTATACTCATCTTGGTCATACATTTTTTTTGCCAGATTTCCTTTAGTAGTTTGTTAGTGGTTTTTTTTTTTTTTCAGTTCTTTGAGTATACTTAAGATAGCTGTTTCAAATTCTTGTCTATTAAGTCCAAAATCTAGGCTATCTGTATATATTTTTAATGTTTGTGTCCAATCTCAATTAGATTGTAAGCTCAAAGACAGAGATTTTGTCTTTTCACAAAGTGAACTCCAGCTGTGTCATGGCCTTACATACAGTCATGCTCTAGTTTCCCACCCCTAGGGGGAAGTCCAAGTTTCTTTTTAGTTTATAGGATCCTGCTTTCAGTCTAACCCAGGTGGTTTTTCCAGCCTCATTCTTCACCATATCCCACCTCACCCACACAGCACTGCAGCCATAAAAATTCCTCTCAGTTCATTAAAACGGTGAAGCTCTTCTTGACGTCTAGTTTTTATATGTGCTATTCCCACTGCCTAGAATATTCTTTTTCCAACTAATCCCTCCCACTCCTCAGGCCTCAGCTGAGATGCTATTTACTCCAGGAAATCTTCTGTGACTTCCAGCCCAAGTGCTACCCACACCATCAGGTGTTCCCATACACCCCATCCTCACCACCACAGCCTGAATCATGCTACACCATACTGTTTCTACCTGATTCCTGGTCTTGTTCTCTCTATTAGGTCACAAACTCCTTGCAGACAGGGACCAAGTCTTGATCACTAGCACACTGCACTCAGTTCTGACACAAAGAAGGTCCTCAATAAATATTTTTTGAATGAATGAATGAATGCATAACTTAATCATTGCCTGCTATCTTAAGAGAATGTTATATGGCAGATATTCAGTAAACATTTTGATTTTCTCTCACCCCAGTCTAGAAGTGCTTTCTTATAACTACATTGAGTTCCTCCTGCAGAAAAACAAGTCTGTCTGGATCTATTGCAAGCTAGAGCTGTTTAGAGCTTTTCCTATCATAACCCTTACTACCTACACCATTTATTTGGACACTTGCCTCAGCCTGCCCCAGCCAGCCTGTGGCCTTGTCTCAAATATATTGAAAGCTCCTGGAGAACAGGTCCTGTGTCCCAGTCATTACCTCCCTGGAGCTCCCTCACCTCCACCTGCAGCTCGCCGATGTCATCCACTGACCAGGCCTCATCATCGTTGTCATAGTTGGGCACAGTGCTGAAGCTGCCGGCCCGCTGCTCATGGGTGATGCCACATTCGGGCAGGTTCTCCACAGACCGTGTACTCCGAATTCTGTTTTCAGGGATCCGGGCAGGGACACTGGTGGTGTCAAAATTTTCACATTCAAGGACTTCCACATAGATCAGGTACGGAGCCTGCCGGGGAGAGGGAATAATATTTGCAATTTACCTCCACCACGATCTCTCAAACATCGACTCTGTTAACACACTTGATGCCCACCTCCCAACCTTTACCCATTAGCCCCCTGATACTATGAATACCACTTTTAGCACAGGAACTTGTCCTATGAACACCTATATGAGAAAACTGGGTAAGAAAGCCTTCAAAATATATCAGATGAGCTTCAAGATGTATAGATGAGGCACGTGGGCAAAACCAAATCCAAATATCAATTATAGCCCATTTCACCATACTTATCCAATATGTTTTCTAAACAAGTAATCTGAGAAGCTGCATTATATGAAGAGGAATATGGCATCAGGATTGGAGGAAGACTCATTAACAACATGCCATATGCAGATGATGCAACCTTGCTTTCTGTGAAAAGAGGATTTAAATACTTATACAACTGGACTAATAAATAACCTCATGATTAATGTAGAAAAGATTGAAGTTATCAAAGATTTTGCTTGGATCCACAATTAACACTCATGGAAGCAGCAGTCAAGTAATCAAAGGCTGTACTACCTTAGGGACATCTGCTTCACAAGACCTCTTTAAAGTGTCCAAGAGCAAAGATGACAGTCTGAGGACTAAGGTGTGTCTGACCCAAGCCATAGTATATTCAATAGCCTCATAAGCAATGTGAAACAATCAAGAAGAATATTGGAAGCACCATAGACTACCAGAAGAACAAATCTGTCTTGGAAGAGAACAGTCAGAATGCTCCTTAGTGGCCAGACTTTGTCTCTCATACTTTACACATGTTCTCAGGAGGGACCAGTCCCTGGAAAAGGACATCATGCTTGGTAAAATGGAGGGCCAGCAAAAAAGAGGAAGACCCCCCCAATGAGATGGACTGGCACAATGGCAGCAGCAATGGGCTCAGGCATAACAACAACTGTGAGGACAGCACAGGCCAGGCAGTGTTTTGTCCTGTTGTTCATGGGGTGGCTATGAGTCAGAACGGACTCAATGGCACCTAACAACAACAAAAACAACACTCTGCTCCTTGGAAACCCTAGACAGCATCACTGTGAATTGGAAAAGACTCCAGTCAGGCAATAACAACAATAAAAGAGAGGCCTAGAAGCTTCAGGCTTGTCATAAAGACAGAGGCCAGAGAGCTAAGGCAAACCAAAAGGCTAAGGAAAAAGCTGGGCACAGCCCTGAGTCAGGTTCTGAAAGAAGAATCAAAACCAGCAACAGTTTCATCCAACAAATTCACCTAATTCTCTCCTATATGAACCAGACATCCTTTTCTCTTTCTCCTCGACTCTAATCAGAGAAGGTTTTATCGAAGGAAAAGAACAACTAAGAGGCGCTGGAGAGTGGCTCTCTTTGGAGAGACAGCAAGAGATGATCTGCAAAGATTAGGCTTCTTTAGTTCTGAAAAAAGTCCAAGAAGGAGGTCAGGTGGGTCCTCAAAATTACAAAAGCACTGAGTTAAAGTTACGGTTGACATAAACATCAAGAACTAAGACGTTCTAGGCAGTTTAGGATGTTGGTGGAGGCATCCCTGGGCATATTCACAAACCCTGGAAATTGGGGAGTAGTGTCAGGTCAGGGGTTGTAGAGCTTTGGTCAGAATCCACCTACCTTGTCCTTGGAGTTGAGGACAACAGCCTGGGTGTGGGGCACTCGGACCACGTGGTGGTCAAAGCTGGCAGTGGGTAGCCAGACTCGGGCAGGGAGCTTATGATTGAGCAAGGAGAGCTCTGAGATTAGTCTCTGTGTCTTCTGCTCCTTGGTGGGAAGTGTGGCTAGCCGCTTGCCAATCGCCATCAGGGACTTGATGAACTCGCGCTCAGGAGCCAGTCTGATGGGCTAGGAAAGGTTGGGGTAAAACAGAAGAGGGTGAAGGAACCATAGAAAAACATGGCTCACTCAGTTACTTCTAGATATTCCAAACAGATTCCCCCATGTCTAGAAAATCCAGGGAAGGAGCTACTTTGTGTGATATAAGATCTGATCCCACCCCTGTTCAGTTTCAGTCAAGAAGAGATAGAATAGGTTATTCCTTGAGGGTAAGGGAGTCAGAATTACAGCCATGGCGCTGTAGGATAAGCACTGGACTGCTAACTGTGCTAACTGCAAAGTCAGCAGTTCATACCCAGTAGCCACTCTCAGAAACCCTGTATAGGGTTGCTGAGTTGGAACCAACTCGACGGCACTTAATAAGTTACTAGGTGGCAATCCTCTTTCCTTAGACTTGAATGTCTCAGGGGCTGTCTCAAGGCTCAGGGTGGACAGAAAACAGCATCCAGAAGTCAGTCAGGGTCTCAGAGAGAAGAGCTGCTTACACTTGCAGTGTTTCACCCAGCTCAACAACAGGGTAGTCTCTCTCCTTGTGGGGCCCTTGGGTTGGAGCTCTGTTGAGGGTCTCTGCCAGGGCCCATGACGTTAGGGATGGGAGCACCATGTCAACATTTTCTCTTTCAAAGAAGGAGAACTCTTCATTCAAAAGGCTTTTGGTGCTTTTCACAGCATACCCCGTTCATCCCATAATCTCTTACCAGGGATTAGTATACATGCAGGTGATGAGAAGAGGATGAACACTTTGGGTCAATGAGGAGCCAATTAATAAGAAAAAGCCAATGTAGGTAGGTAGATGAGGGCAGATGGATGGAAAAAAGTGATGGCCTCCTTAGCTAATGGCCCTGAAGGCCTTTCTCTTTCTGAGACTCCTCCTTGGGTCCTTTTCCCCAACCTCACAAGGACTAGGCTCTCCTTAGTTCTTACCTTGAACTTTGTTCCTCACATTGGCACTTCAGTCATACCCAGAAAGGGCAGAGTTAGTCTTGGGAAATAAGGTGAAGTGGGGAAAAGGATGTACTCAGCTCAACATGAAGAAGGGCTTCTCCCATAAAGGGCATTTACTAAGATAGACACCCAACTCCCCATCTCATCTCCCCTCAGTTAGACAACAGCAAAATCTCTTCCTCTTGTAGAAATAGCATTTCACTCATCAGCTTCCTTCCCCTTCTCTGCATGTTTTGCTTAGTTTCTTGATTGAGAATTTCTACTTTCACTCCCTCACACTAAAATAAAAGTGTCTTCTGAAAGCTGGGGAAGTACTGTGCCCACCTCTGCATGCGCAACAGAACAAGGTTCCAGAGGAGCAGTTAATATCTCAGTCTCTACCACAGTGGGGCTAGCTCAGAGTTTCATACAAGTAATGAAATAGGGCATCTGAATCAGTTAGGAATGCTCTGGTGGGCAAGAGTTAAAGGAGTTAAAGAAAAGGAGAAACAGAATGAGGCTTCTGCGACCCCTGAAAATATCCCAGGGGGTCTAACGGAGAAAAAAAGGAAGAGGAAATTTGGAAACCTATTCCTTTATCCCAATCCCCTAATCCATCCACTCAGGTGGCAAATGGTCACTGTCCCAAGGACCCGCCACCCAAACTAATTCACACTCATCGCAGATGAGAAAAGGTAGAGCCCCTTCTTCCCATCTCCAAACCAGCACTTGGGTTAGGGACCCCAAAATTACTTGAACATGTTGGAAATGTGACCTCAGGCCTTGAAAGAGGCTCTGTCACGTGGTAGGAGATAGGAATCATGACTGAAAAGGGATCAGCACAGAATAGAGAAAACCAATTGAGTAGACAAATAAAAAATAGAATGTAAAAAATCATCCAAACTCCCAGAGGGTCCAGCATTTCCTCTCGCGTCTCTGCCCAGCAACAAGAACTGCAACCCTGAGGGGCCAAAGGGTCAAGGATTAGCCTAGAGATCATCCAGAGGGAGCAAGAGAGGAGAATGGGGGGTTAAGGAAAATCCTAGGCAGTGAGCTGAGAAAAGGGAAGAACTCAAACCTGGAAGAAACGAGGCTGAAGTTACAAAAGAAAACTGGCTGTGGGGAAGTAAAACTTTCCTTCAGGCCAAGTCTCCTTTTCTTTTAGAGTCAGCTCATCCAGCACAGGGCCTAGCATTTATTTAGAAGACATTGAATCAATATATGAAGATGGCGAGATGGCAAAAACTCTGGGAAAAGGGGTCTGGGTGGAAGCAGCAGTTCCTTGCTCCAATTCAGGCATAAACACCCTGTCTCCCAGCTGTTTACTTCAGAGACCAGGAGCTGGGGGCTGAGTCTTGCTATAAGACAGCTGTGTCTGAGAGCTGGATCTACGGAGCCCAACTCAGTCTGAGTTCAGTATACCCGCAGCAGGCGCTGGACTCCTCCAGATCTGGGAGTCCAGAAAGGGAGGGGCTGTTCTCCCAGGAAGATTAAAGGTCTTTTATTGAACCATAGCCTTGGTCTGGGGGCTCAGAAGACCTGAGGACGGAGAGGAAATGCGGCCATGGGAGTGGGGGAGCCTGCCACCCAGCCCCAGCCTGGCCCCACTTACGGAACTGAATGAATTATCAATACTCTCGGTGCTGGAGGAGAGCTCCTGGGAAAGGGCCACAGGGCAAGGGGAGGAGGAGGGGGTGGGAGTGAGGGGAGAGAGACAAAGGCAAAGATTTTAGCTCCAACTTGGATCATAACTGCTTCTCCTGTAGCTCTACCTTTTTGCTTTAATGAAAGGAAGTTGACCCAGAAATGCCACTTGCCCAGAATCCAGTAGGAGATGTTAAAAGGTCAGCTCAGACCCTGAGCAGGTCAAGAGAGTAATGAGACTAAGCAATCTCTGCTTTCCACGTATTCCTTTCTATTCTCTCCTGCCTGGTCTTCCTTCTAGGACCTGGAAGTTAGGTTCCTGTTCGTCATGCACTCACATATTCTCCAACAAACCCTTCTCTACGGGGACTACCACAAATGGATGGAATTTAAGAAGCTGCACAGCCGCACACTGAAAACCCCAAGTTCCTCCAACTTCTTGGAAACCTCAGCAAGAAAGTGGAAGAGCTAAACTTTCAGTGCCAGGTACTCAACTTTGAACTTGTGTGACAGAGGGTACTACAGACCCATGAACTTGAAACCTATGGGCTGGATGGATGCTGGTGGGAGCACAGGATGACCAAATCTCTCATCTAATGATTCTCCTTCAGCTTCCTTATCAGGCTACTTCCAATAATACTCAATAAGCTACAATTTTTTGATGTAGTTTGGGAGTTAGGTTCTAGCTAAATCCATTGAGTGCTGTATAGATGGGCGGCTGCTGTCCTAGTTCCCGTCCAGGGGCGATATCAATCACCCTTCCCTTGTGCATTTTGGTGGGTCTCCTTGAGCAAAATAGGACACAGGGGTGATGGTCCAAGTCTTATTCAGCAGCTCGGTTGATGCACTCAGGCACAGTGCCCATCCTGGGCTCTGTCCAAGGTCTTCCCAGGCTGGGAGTAGGGACAGCACGTGTGTATAAATCTGCATGAGAGGAGGGGCCTGGGCTTAAGATTCAAAGTCCTGAGAGATCCCAGGGCAGGAGGGCAACAGCCACTGAGCTTCTACTGTGGAAGCAGCATTTCAGCTTAATTTCAGTTCTTTTCTATCTAGAGGTTTCCAGTCAGGTCCTCCCTTGAAGAATCTGGAGAGGCATTTCAGGGAAGAGGTCAAACTTGGAAACTCCTCTAAGGCAACAACTCTTACACTTTGGGTAAAGGTGGGAGGGAGAACTGAGGCAGGGAGGATGCCAGGGCCTAGTATCCTAGAGCTGGCTGGGGCAGGACAGTAACTCCTTGAGCAGCGCTTCAGCTGATTCTCCCAGACAGGTCCACCATCTGACTCACTCACGGCCTTGAGGAAAGGTGTATCATGCATGACCTGCCCCTCTCCTCCTGCTCTGGGCTTGAGTCACTCAGACTGAGTCAGTTCCAGGGAGCAGTGCTGACATCACATCGTATCAGGCTTTCAGTATAGCCTGAGCAACAGATTTCTCGGTACAAAGGTTGCTGTCCTGAAGAGACAAAGCTCATCTACTGAGAGTGTCATTGTGTGGAGTGGGGGTGGTACTGAAATAATTATCTGCATTCCACCCCATGCCAAAATATGAAGCATTTGGTTACAAATGGGAGGGAAAATTGCCTGAGCAATTTAAGGCTAATATAAAACTGCTCTGAAGGGAAAATGGTGGGAGATGAAAGAAATCAGGGCTAGAACCCCTGTTGGGAGAGTATAAAGAACTCCTCATTGAAAGGAAAGAGAACCTGGTTTGTAACAAAAGGAGGGGTGTGGTTGATCTTGTAGTCCAGGAGCAAGGGCCCTGGGACCATCAAGTGAGAAGAGCAGAATGTGGGACCCTATCTAGAGCAGCAGGAGCACCAGAAATGGAGGCAGAGACAATGGCTTGGAGAGATGGAGTGGCTGGGGATCCTGGACTCAGAGGGCTTGCGGGATATGCCCTTTGGTTGCTTTTGTATATTCCTGAGTGCTTCAGCGTACTGCCAAAAAATGAAAAACAAAACAAAATAAAAACCAGAGGGAATGGAAGCAAATGCTGTTGAATGATGATGCATGGAAGGGACTGTAATCACTGCAATATAACAAAATATGATAGGATGAATGTAAAGCTGATGTTCTCCCATGTAAACTATCACCCAATTCACAACAAAATCTTCAAAAAAAAAAAAAAAGAGAACCCAGAGAGATCTGGGGACAGAAGAGCTCAGTGGGGTCATGCCAGGCAATAAGAAAGCTATACAGCAATCCTGGGCCACTTCCCTTAAGTCTCTCTACCCCCTCCTGGGGCTCCTCTTGTAGAAGTAGGAGGTCAGGATTAAACTGATTTAAAAGGGAAACAAGAGATTGGGAGCAGTGTCCGGATCTACCTAGAGATTTCTCCTTTAGAGTCTCTGCTCAGGCCTTGGAAAATTACATGCTTTAGTAATCTATGTTTCTTGCATATGGGAAAGAACAGCTTTGCAAGAGAGCCGCGTACTAAACACTTCCCTAAGACAATGGGGCTTCCTATATGGAGTCCTGGTGTGGGCTAATGTGTTGGTCTGCAAATGCAAAGTTGGTTTGATCTACAAGGTAGGCGGTTCAAGTTCACCAGCCACTCCTCAGGAACCCTATACAGGGTCGCTATGGGTTGGACCTGACTCGATAGCACATTAACACCTCAGAAGTTCCTGTAGGGCAGTGGACAGTGTCTAAGTGCAGGACTTTGCTGAACGAATGAATGCTGCATGATACAGGAGGTAGAGGAGTAGAAGGAAAACCAACCCTCTTGGTATTTTGGGGATTGTGGAGGGCCTTGATAGATGTGTCCTCAAAATGCTCCAGGGCTGAAGACTGTTTAGACTAGCAACGTTCACATTTATTTTCTTTCTCACTAGGTAAATTTCCTGAGGAGTCAAGTGGATTCAGATATCACATTCACCCAGCATCAGATAACCTGCTTGGGGATGAGATATCTCCTTTTTTTCCTGGTTACAGTGAACTGAGATAGAATCAGGTTAGGAAAAATGGCAGATCGTGAACCCATCTGAGCGATTTAAGTCCTCACAAAATACCTGCCTGCTGGTGCCATCCAGAATGTCATTCTGCAGCAGGACTCGGATGCAAGAGAGTTCAAGGACCATCAAAGAGTAAGAAAAGCCCCAAGGCTTCAAATTTTCTGGCCCTAAGATGAGAACTGAGTCCTGGTATGATGTTACAGGGTAAACACTGGACTTCTAACCACAAGGTCAGCAGTTCAAACCCATCAGCTGCTTCTTGGAAACCTTATACAGGGTCCCCATCAGTCAAAACCAACTGAACGGCACTTAACAACAAGAAGATGAGAACTACAAAATGGACACAGAGAAAAGCCACGCACGACAAAGAGCACCAAACTGTTCACACCCATGCTGCTTGATGATGATTCTCTGGCTTTGCCAAAATCTCCCTTCACAACTGTCAGCTTTACTGCTAAGCTCAACCGGAAATGAAAAGGGTCCATTTTGGTTTTCAGAACAGCTTGATTCTGCCCACACATGAATGTGGAAGCCTAGAGGGCCAAGGTTGTAAGCCAGTTCTCTCCAAATGGCCTCTGACAGCTGGAAGGCCCAGAAAAACCTAGCAGAGGGGCCTGAGTAAGTATATACAGAGAAATAACCAAGATGGCTCAGCTGAACAACTATAAGCACCAGCTTTGGATTTCAGTCCACAGCTGACATTCACTAGTTTGAGAGACCATGGGCAAATCATCTACCTCTCTAAGGCTTACACTGGTAAAATAATACCTATCAGCATTGTTGTGAGGAATCAATGTGAAGTCCCCTGCACAATGTCTAGCAAAAAATCAATACTCAACAAAGGTTAGCTCTTTTAGCACTATTGTTACTCTCACTTTAGGTTAATTATTGGACCAAATTACCTTAATAAAATACCTAGTTTCCATAAAGAGCAGGTTCCGTAGTCTCCTTCCCAACCGCCTTTCCTTATCCTAATCACTCTGAGCTACCCTGAGTTGAAAGAAGTCCTACTGTATCAGAAATAGGGGCGGATATGTGTCCTAAAGATGAAGATGCCAGACCATGGCTATGCAACATTTCCAACAAGTGCAAATTCCTTATTCTTTTCTCCTTTCCTTCCTAGGCTGGCAGCCAGGATGGAAGCCAGGCCAGTGGTGAATCAGAGGGAAGGACTGTGGCACCATTGTCCGGCTGGGACACCAGGTCACCAACACTAGCTGTCCAGATGCAAAGTAAGGAGGAGGTGTAAGCTACTGTTGTGGTCCTCTTCCCCTGCTTTGTACCCTAAAATTTCCCAACTGCTGCTGTGGCTTCCTCTTCTTTCCATTGTTCTTTCCTTGACGAGGTAAGACTTACTCTAACAAGATTGCTTCTCCCAAAAGATAATGGGAAAGACACCCCTCACTCAAGGAAAGAGGCAAATACCTCAAAGATATGGAATGAACACTACCCTAATATCAACAAACAGCAAGATCTTCAGGGGTTGGAGGAAACGGATTATGAGAAGCAGTGGTCAAGAGAATACAGTTGATGTTCTATTTAACATGTTCCCAACTCTAGCACACACAAAATGCACACAAAGACCATAATCTCTTTTTCTCCACAACTACTTCTCTGAGGTTCTGGTAGATATGTCAGGTCTCAAGTTACGGTCTCCACTATAGTTCGTACTTAGCAAGCAAGCAGTTAATCAAGTGCCAAGGCAATTTATTAAAAAAAAAAAAAAAAAAAAAAAATTAGTCTGGAGTATTAACCTTGCCATTAACTAGTTATATGACCTGGGGCAAGTCATTTTATCTCTCTGGGTCTCTGAGTTCTTCCTTTGCAAAATGAGGCAGTTGGAATACATGCATTCTAAAGTCTTTTTCCATTGTAACTTTCCATGCTTTTATTACAGTGAAATGAAACAGGGAAGGAGAGAAAAGGACAGAGTAACACTATGTTAGACATCCTGTCTTCATGCAGCCCTCTGCCATCTAGTCCCTCCCCAGAATTTTACCTCATCCTCATTTTCCACTTTAGGGTTGCTGGCAGTTCGTTTCAGGTTGCTGCTGAGACTTATGCTGGCAGTGGCATCTGACTTAGAGCGCTGGTGAGTCCTTTTAGAAGGAGAAAGCCCTGTGTCAGGGGCTGGGCTCAGGGAGGGCAGCTCCCTCTTTCGGTGAGCTGGCTTCAGCTCATCTGAGAGGATCAGCTTCCGTAGCTTGGTCCCACGGGAGTGTCGTTGAGTGGAAATGTGCATGTCTGAAGAGTAAGCCCCAAGCAACAGGGCACACTGGAGAGAAAAATTAATGCTCTGGCGGCAGCGATGGACTATGTAGGGCTTGATGGCATCACCCACGTCCTCATCCATGTGGATGTACATGTTAAGCAACTGGGGCAGATAAAAGTCCACATCCTCATTACGAAAGCAGAAGAGCCGGTTGCCAATGTAGGCTTGCACTCCAGGTTCCTTGGAGTTATACAGATATGAAATGGCCATGGAAATGTCAAATAGTTTTGACTCAAACAGCCTTAGCAGCCAAGACTGTTTAGCTGAGTTCTGACGCCGCCTTCTTGCTCCTTTGGCGGTACCCGAGGCCACAGTGGCCCCCACCTCATCTTCTTCCTCCCTTATCTGGGCAGGCGGATCATCTAAGCAACGGATCTCACTGTCCACACCATCCCCATTGACCAACTCCAGTGGGGTACCTCTGCTAGAGACGGCCACACCTCCGTGCAAAAGCTTCACTTTCTCCAGCACCTCCTGGCAAGCCTTCTGCGCCACCTCAGGGTCAATCACTGATAGTTCCCCGATACCCTCCGTGATGACACTTAGCAAGGAGCCCCCATTATTCCCTGGTGGGCTAGGAGTGAGCTCAGAAGTTGGCTTCAGAGGGGTGGGCTCCACTACCGTGTCTCCCATGGCAACAGCCAGACTTCGAGCTTTCAAACTACAGGAGGAAGGAGGGAAAAAGATAAAGAAAGGGAGACACATACACACACTGATTAGTGATGCCATCCTCAGGTTCTCCCTTCTCTATGAAGCCTCCCCAGGCACCGCCTCTCCTTCGGTCCTTCTGGACTCCTTCAAATCAGATGAAAACTTGTCACTTCCCAGGAAGTTTTTCCTGATCACCTCCACTTCTGACCCCTGCATTATTCTCCATTCCTTTTGTATTCAGTAACTCAGATTAGCTTCTGTTCTGAACTTGTATTTGCAAAACATTGCTTTTAGGTATGTTATGCTTACATAGCTTTATAAATTCTTCAGGTAAACTGGGAGACATTCTGATCTTACTTCCTTGTGCCTAAATCTTCAAATACTTTTCTATAGTCTTGTCCTTCCCATATCTCCCTTTAAATGCTTGTCATCACCTTTTTTCTTTCTCTTTCCTTACTCATAGAAGACCCTATAAACAAGCCCAACACAACTCAACATTTATTTCGAATCCAAGTCCTGATGTATTTTTCCTAGTTAAACATACATTCTTACCTTCCCTTTCAGACACAAAGCTTCCAGGCAGGGAATAAAGGGCAGTAAACAGCATGTCAGGCTACATTTAAAAGAAACAACTCTAATAAAACACCCATCTCTAAACCTGCTGAAGTTGTGCTATTTCTCTGCTTGTCTATCTTCATGAAATCATAACTTTCTACTCCAGTGAAAAAGAACCCTGTACTTATTAAGGAGCTCTGGTAGCATAGTGGTTACAAGTTGGGCTACTAACCTCAAGGTCAGCAGTATGAAACTACCAGCTGTTCCGTGGGAGAAAGATGAGGCTTTCTGCTCCCGTAAAGATTGACAGCCTTGGAAACCCTATGCAGGGTCACTATGAGTCAGAATTGAAACCATGGCATATCACCACCACCTCCACTTAGAGTCAAAGACAGGCTGGTGTTCAAATTCTGGCTCTGCCAATATTAGGTGTATAAACTTACTGAAGCCGCTTATCTTTTAAGTTTCTAATTTCCTCAGCTGCAAAATACTTACTTCTTATTGCTGCTGTGTGGGATCAATATAACTTCATCTGAAAGGGCCTCACACAGTTCCTGGCACATTGTTGTTGTTGTTAAGTGCCACTGAGTCGATTCCAACTCATAGCAACCCTGTACAGGGTTTCCAAGGAGCTGCTGGTGGGTTTGAACCACTGGCCTTGTGATTATCAGTCCAGTGCTTATCCTACGGCACCACACCAGAACACATAGCAGTGTTCAATAAATGCCAATTGAATCGTAATCACCTGAAAGGTTAGTATACAGTGTGTGTGTGTGTGCGCATATGCACACACATACAAATATTGTTTTAAAAGGGAGTGAATTAAAAGTTACACTCATTGTTTGAAGAAACCCTAGTAGCGTAGTGTATTATGAGGTGAGCTGCTAACCGCAAAGTCAGCTGTTTGAATCTACCCATCACTCCGTGGGAGAAAGATGAGGCTTTCTACTCCTGTGAAGATTTATAGCCTCAGAAACCCTATACAGGGTCGCTATGAGTTGGAACCGACTCAACAGCACATCGCCACCACCTCATTGTTTGAGACTTTTCTAAAACATTTAGTAGTGTTGCACACACCCAACACTACTTACCCTGCTATAGTACACACATTCTTAAGAAGTGGAGGGGCTGTAGAAAGGCAAGAAGAAATCAGACTGTGTCCCCTGGGTCCAGAACTGCCAAAGGAATCCTACAACTAAGATTCCCTCTCTGGAGGAGCTTGGAGAGGAAATTCAGTGACAGAACACAGCTGACATAAGCCACCACTCTCCAAGAGTGACTCTTCGGAGCCTCATCAAACCCAGACCAGGAGAATCAGTGTGGAACAGGCAGTGACTGGGAGTGGCACATGAATATCAGATCAATCTTAGCTCCTGTCCAGCTGTAGCCAGCAATGGTCTTCAAAAACACAGAGTTAAGCATAAACACAAAGGCTTTTGTAGCACTGTATTGAAAGCCATTTCCAATTATTAGTGACCTTACTTTTTGTCCCTGGTACATACATTTTTGAGTAGGTGGAAGGAGGCTGGAGCTATCGATTCTCCTGCTGCTCTATCTCTTGGCAGCCCCCCTTTACACTGCCACCCTTCCAGTGCTATCACCACCTAAGATTTGCCAGAAAGACAAATGGGGAACTCTTGTTCTTAGAGATCACTAAAAAGGAGTACTTCCATTTCTCTTTCTCCCAACTCCCATCAAGCAAGTTCACTCCTGAATTTAATACCCCTGATGCAGCCTGAGTTTAGAATTAGTAAAGTAAGAAGTCTTACACTATGCTCTCCCTAAATTAAGAAATGTCCTCTGAGCTACAGAACCAGCATGGCTTCTCTGTGGATCTGTCTCTACTCGCACCTATGAGTTGCACAGGAACAGTAAGAAGGAAGCTTTAATCATTCCCTGCCACACCTCTGCAGAGCACATTGCACTAGATGGTCACTGTGATTCAACTAGGACCACCTAACTTTTGTTGTTGTTAAGTGCCATTGAGTCGATTCCAACCCACAGTGACCCTGTATAGCATTTCCAAGCTTTTAACCCATAGCGCCACATCTGCTTAAAAACTCACTTGATAGCTGAGAAAAATCACCCTACACAATATACTCTTTTTTTCTCAATCTCTCTATTTCAGAAACTTTCAAGTCACCAAAAGCCCCTAAAGGTCCTCTTTTCATAACAGGAAAATGAAACTTAGACATTTCCCACATAATAATCTCAGACTTTAGTAGGAAATCCAGTTTACTTTCACCCCAAACGATCACACAAGCGGGATTATTACTGGCACCAAGAATGGAAATAAGGACAACACCACCTCTGTTATCCCATAGGCAAAAGAAGAAAAATTCCCAGGCCAGGGCTCAATCACCTGGGAACCCCCTTTCACAGTACTCAGGGTTCTCCAATAGAATAGACTCCCCATTTTGCAGCCTTTACACTCCAGAGAAGCAGCCATGCCAAGACGTGTGGGGAAACCAACTCCTCCTCTACATAGGAACTTTGCCACTAGAAACCACCAAACTGTAGCTGATCCTCCTTTCTGGCCTCTCTGGGATTCAGGGACTGCTTGAACCTGAAGAAAGTCATAGTGGGAGTGGGGGCGTATATTGAAGAGAGCAGGGTATTGCTAATTTAGACAATAATAAGAAAGGTCTCCAGAACCTAAGTTCAGATATGGTCCTCAATAGCAACTCACTCACTTCCAAAATGCAAAAAAAAAAAAAAAAAAGGCTTTTGTGGGTAATCACTCAAAAGAGAGTAAAAGGAAAATCAAAGAAATATAGAATAGGTCCAATAGTCATCACCTTTCCCCTATTAAGTCAGAAGAACAAGAAAATGTAAGAAAAGAAAATCCAAGCCACTTAGCCTGTCTCACCACTTCTCAAGAGCTCAAAAGATTTTAGGCAACAACCTTCCTCGGGCTTCCATTAAAGGATTGGTCTCTGCTAAGACAGGATGGTTAGAAAGGGTCCCAAATCTATCACTTCACCCAGTCAATCATGCTCGCTTCAAATCTTTCTCCAAGGATTAGACAAATATGAAATGGCTCAGAACAACTCCTATGAATCCTTTCAGGATTAAGACTCCCCTCCATTGTGCTGTGGGATAAGCACAGGACTGCTAACCACAAGTTTGGCAGTTCAAACCTACCAGCCACTCCATGGGAGAAAGATGAAGCTTCTGCTCCTATAAAGATTTATAACCTCAGAAACATTAAACAGGATCACTGAGTCAGAACCCACTCAAGAGCACCTAAGAATAATTCACCATCTAACAAGGAAGCTCAGACAACTGCTCAAAGAGGCTCCACATTATACACTGAGAGCTGAAACTGGTCTTCCAGTCAGACTGGAAGAGAAATTGAAGTTTCCCTCAGCCTAGCAAGTGGTTCTTAAGAAAGTGGGAGGAGGTGGTGGGAATGTTGACAACTGACTAGACTCCATAGTTCACATTTGGACAATGTAGGAAATCCCAGTCTGGCATCGTGGGTTGTTAAGAGTCCAGCATAGAGGGCAAAGGACATAGATGCATGTGTTCTGTGTGACTGAGCATTTAAGTCATATCTGTGGAGAAGGACTCTGCTAAGAAAGGGGTGCTAATACTTATCCTGGCTCCTCACTTCTCAAGAGCTCAAAAGATTCTAGGCAAATCACCTTCCCATGGCCTCCCATAAAAGGACTTCCTAGATTGGTCTCTGCTAGGACAAGTTGGTTAGCAAAGGGTCTCAAAGACATCGCTTCACCCAGTCAGTCATCATGCCCGCTTCAAATCTTTCTCCAAGGTTTAGACAAATATGAAATGGCTCAGAACAAATCTTCACATTTTTATCTGTGCCTATTTGCATAAAATGCCCTTTGAGAGATCATCTGATTTAGTGTTCTGCCTCTAAGCAGGCAAGGGAGCTCAATTTTCCCCTTCCTTCTAAATAATCTCTTTGATGTGGATGGTTCAAGATGGAAAAGGGGAAAGGGAGCTATCTTCATTTTACAAAGTAGGCAGCTGAATGGGTGATTCAAGCCCACTAGTCATTCCTCAGAAACCCTACACAGGATTGATTTGAGGCAGAACCAACTTGATAGCACTGAACAACAACAATGGAAAAGAAATGGGGGCTCAAATATATTAAATAAGTTATATTGGTATCCAGAAGAAATAAAAATAATGATATAGTAAATACAAGGTGGCTTCAAAAAGTTCATGGAAAATTTTTACTCTCCTAATTCCATTTTTCACTAACTTTGTGAAGCTCCTCACAAAGTTATAAACAGATAGCATAAATCCTCTGAAGTTAAGCGCTCTTTTGTAACAAATTAATATATCAATGAATATGTATCTAAAATGATGGCATTAACCTTCAGAACTAAACACAAATAATTTAAACAGTTCAACTTTGAGAAAGTAGGATTAGGGATGAGTGGAAAGAGACTGTTGCTTTTCATCATTCTTAAAAACTACTGGATTTCTTATTAAGTGCATGCAGTCTTTTAACAATTTTTCAAAAGAGCTCCTGTATCACTTTAGGCAGTCTGTCCTTTTGTTGAGAAGTTCCCTCCTCATGTCTTAAACTCGAAAAGAAACTTTTATTTTTTTAGGAGGCCTCAGTTCATGTCCTTTTTGACCTTAATGATCCAGGTGGAGATGGAACTCCTTTTTCCTTATAAAAACCCAAGGCCAAGCCTTCAAGCAGGCTCAAGCTCTACCAAGAACTAGGTAAATGTCCCAAGGGGTGGTGACATCAGGGGGAGAGGGCATTCTCAAGCTGAAGGGTAGGAAGGGCAGTGGTCTCAAGGTAGTTAAATCAATATTGAATCAGGTGAGAGCTCTCTGCACAGGGCCAAGGAGCTGGTATAAGCAGATTCCAGCCAGACAGCCCAAGCCAGCTCTGGGAACCCCTGCTGAAACAGCCTGTAAAGGAAGTAAACTGCTTGATCACCTCTCTCTGAACTATTCCCTCCCCTATCAAGCCCCAAATGCACTTTGACTAGGTCCTCTCTTGACCCATTACAATTATTAAAAGGTTCCTACCATATTTCTTTCCCAAATTAAAGAATCCGAATTTACTACTTTGGATGGTATTCAACAGACACGTTCTCTCATTCTGTGTGAACCCAGCTCTTGAGAAGGAAGCAGGGAAACTAGGGAAATATTTCCTAGCAGTAAAATTGCTCCTAAAAAAGGAGTATTATGAGGAGACTGCACTTTGATAAAGAGGAGGGAGATAAGGGAGAAGTGGGACAAAGTGGCTTGACTACATCAGTACTGGCATAAAGTCGTTGAAGGATGAATGGAATAGGTCCTCTTCACTGTCATAGGCCAAGTCAGAGACGTGGCATACATACAAGGCAGCAACAAGTTTCCTAGATTCCACATCATTCCAAGTACTCTTTTCTAGCCAACTTCCTCAAAGGACTTTCCCACAAACATACTTTCTATCTGTATAACCTGGAACTGTGGATTAAGCTGATGGCTCAGGAGGTCCGTAACTTAGTATAGTAGGAATAAAGGCAGTTGAAAGGAGCAAGCTTGCAGACTGTCTTTAAAGCATGGCTGGAGATTAGAAAGATCCAACAGGGAGACCAAGATGAAGGAAAATTCTCAAGACGACGTACCAATACTAATAAACACCTTTTGCCTGAGGAACCCAGGATGTTTTATAAACAAATAAACCAAGTCTAATTTTTCTCCCAACTCACATCCTGCTGTTAGCCTATTACTGCACTGATACCTACAGAGTGGGTCATTTTCCCAAAAAGGTCATTCTAGAGGTTAAGCGAGGAAGTCACATGCTAAACCCAGGAGTCCCAATTCCAAATACACAAGCTCCTTCCATTGTCTCATGTTCTTTTCCCCAGTTACCAATCCAAACCCCTTCACCCCCCGGCACCCCTCCGCAGGTCTGTGTTCTCATGGAATACAACCACAACTATTCTTGTAAGCCACAGACGTGTAAACTGCTTCCTGGCTCTGCTCTGGATAGTGGAGGAAGACACTCCATTCTGTGATCCCTTTAAAAGAAGCCTAAAATTAAAGAATCCGAAACCAAAATTTACACAACTGAATTCAGATTCCAGGCCTGTTGTTCATCCCTGCCAATGGTTGCTCCTGAATTGTCAACAAATATGATATAGACTTCTTCAAAATTTGCTCTATCTTTCAGAAACATCCTTCTGTTCAGAAAAACCTGAGACAGCTGAGGCTCTCCCTCTTCCCAATACATTTTCTTCTTCAAGGTTTAGCTGATCCTGAAATAACTGGTATGCGAAGATTAAAAAGTGTGACACAGAACACATAGAGACCAAAGGGAAAACAGAACCAAATGTCACAAGGCTGAGGCAAAATCCTTGAAATTCTAGGGAAGAGGCATCAAAGTTAGAAATTCTGAATGGGCAGGGTGCACTGTCAGATCTTTAATTTCCTTCAGAAACAAACCTCCAGAGATTGGGGGATTGAGAAAGGGGAAAGAGAAGCTAAATAAAGTTAGAGAGATCACATAGCAGTCCAGAGAAAAGGGGTGACGATCATGGTCAAAGCAGAATGCAAACAGTACTTCAGGAATGACGATGAGGGCCTATCTCTTAAGGAGGAGATAGACAAATCTTGGAAACCAGGAGTCGCTGGGTGGGTGGGTGTTAGTAAAGTAATGGAATCAGAAGCAGCAGCAGAAGAAAGGGCCACGTCTTCAGCTCAGGGAAATGGGAACCAGTGCTGGGGTTGCAGAGACCTCGGAGCAAAGGGACAAAACAGGAAACAAGATAAAAGAGGGGTCTATGGAAAAGGTTTAGGGCAGGAGCACAGACAATGTGAAAGGAAAAGCAAGGATGAACATTATAAAAGGCATCCTGATACGAAAATGATTAAAGACTTAGAAAATGATTCGGGACGGAGGCAACAGGGATAAAAGTGAGGCGGGGGG